TGAGCGTAATCTGGAACGCATCGAAAACTTCGGGAAGAGGATCAACGACTATCGATCCCACCAGATAATTCTAATTGCTGGAGCAATATGCTGTGCATTGATCTGTATTGGCCTTACTTATCGGCGAGTCACCCAGGCCAGAAAAACTGCGGTCCAACTAAGAGAGGTGACTGCGGCCCAAATAGGGTCGGCCGAGGGCGGCCTCATTCCTGAGGGGGGAGTAGTTAACTAAGTTAACCGGGCGACGGCAATGACCGATCGTCCGAAGCCTCGCTCCGGCCAAACTGCTGACACAGCGTCTGGCGGGAAGCTCGTGCATAGTCGGCAAGCATTGCCCATTGGAGTGGCCGCTATGAGTCTCTTTCTTTGTTAGCCTTAAATTCAGTTCTGATTTAACTGCAATAAAGAGCATATCGCTCGTAAAAAAAACTCCGGCAACCGCCGTTAAAGAATTTATTATTTGAACAGTGACTGAGTCTCTAGACCAGCAGTGAACGGATGGCAGTTACCCTTCCAGCGTAATCGTCATAACAGCGTAATAACATAACCGGCCACCTACCTACAGGAGCTACGCGGAATCACCATCCCCGTATCAACGTGAATCGGACGACCGTCCACCTACCTACAAGAGCTACGCAGAACCACCATCCTCGTACCAACGTAAATCGACCAAACCGGCGATCAACAACGGGACTGCAGCGAGGGAATAACTGCTATAAGCCTATAATAACTAATTTACATATATTATATATATGAACTCATATATATATATATATATTTTTTTTTTTATAGTCTCGGGCGAAATTATTCGAATTATGTCGACGGAAATAGGTCGTTACCCCTCTGTAATCTGCTCTTATGCTTTTCCCATGCCTAACATTTCATTGACCGATGTGTTATGTTACGATAAGCTCGGTAACGCTGAAAATACGATCGAGAATGTACACTTGCGATTTGAATTCCACGAAATAAAAAAACACTGGAAACTACAATAAAGTTTTTCGCGTTGGTTTTAGAAACTTAATTTTTTTTATTTGTATGTTGACCGACGGAAATCTTTAATGTATCGAAATATTTTCGCTGTAGGATGTAGAAAATAAGTTGTATGTATGAGTAGATATATGTGCATTTGTATATATGATATTTTTCGCGAAAAAAGTATTTGAATTTTTACCGGGGGCTATGTGCGCTAAATTTGATTTGATGAATCAGAATCAGAAATGTGTTGTGGACTGTATACTGGAAAGAAAATTTATGCAAAATATTTTAACTGAGGGAGAAACACAGTGCAACAATTAAAATAATTTGAAGAAGTTGTGGGCCAACTTTGGCGGAACAAGTGAAAATAATATCGGGATTAATTTTCACTATATTTTGGAACATGTTTTGCACATATTAAACTTTTCGATGAGTTCTTCTCACTGCTTAGAACTTATTTTGCGATGTAGTGAATTCAACCTTGACGTACGGCCAAATGTACTTATGTATTTCTTGTGACTTGATATGCACAAAGGGAAATTGGACTAAGATGGCCGCACGATCAAAGAGAAAATAAAAAAGACGATGATATTTTTTTAAATGCCTTTGTCGGATTAAATCGAATTTGAATTCTAGACAGATCGTACAGAAAGTCAAACGAAACGATGATTTCGATCGGCTGACTGCAGACCAGCAATTAATATTTTAAGGAAAAACTTCATACTTATTTTGATTTGGTGAAGAGTTATTGATAGGCAGCTTTCGGTGGCAGCTAGAAGTTGCGACCAGATGTGGGAGTGAAAAGAAAGGCACTCGGCGATCGCGATGGAATGAAAAGAACGAAGACTTCTTCAAAAATAGGGAAAACTGTAGTCTCTCACGGTTCGATTCGAACTTGTAATTCGGTCCCGCGGTGAGTTTCTGCAGCTGAACTGCTCGCTCTCATTGCCAAGTTCGAACCAAAAACTAGAGCTTGGGCAGAGGTTCGGGTACAACAAATGGTGCCTCTATATAGTTCTTACTCTATGCATAGAGTAAGAACTATCTAGAGGCACCATTTGCTCTGCCTCTCTCTCGAGTGACTTTTCCAGTGATGCCACCTAGACTAAAAAAAGGGAAAATTTCAGTCTCTCACGGTTCGATTCGAACCTTTAATTCGGTCCCGCGGTGAGTTTCTGCATCTTAACTGCTCGCTCCCATTGCTAAGGGCTGGTGCGAGCATAGAGTAAGAACTATATAGAGGCACCATTTGCTCTGCCGCTCTCTCGAGTGACTTTTCCAGTGATGCCACCTAGACTAAAAAAGGGGAAAATTTCAGTCTCTCACAGTTCGATTCGAACCTTTAATTCGGTCCCGCGGTGAGTTTCTGCATCTTAACTGCTCGCTCTCATTGCTAAGGGCTGGTGCGAGCAGTGCAGTTGCAAGTTCGCTGCGGGACCAAATTGTAAGTTCGAACCAAAAACTGAAAAGTGGGGTGGGAAATCCAGGTTAGTTTCGAACATGGCTCTCAACAGAGCTTGGGCAGAGGTCCGGGCAGAGCAAATGGTGCCTCTATATATTTCTTACTCTATGGTCAAAACGAAAAGTCAAAAAACAAAAACAATGTAAAAGTGCCTATATAAGTTTCGCCCACTCCGTATAAAAATGAACAAGCCATTAATGTTTCGTTAATTATCTAATTTCCTTTATTGAAAAGTAAAGACCTAGCATGCAAATGAGAAAAAATTACGGGGTCCTATAACCAATATTTCTGCCATGAGTGTTATTTTTATACCCTTGCAGAGGGTATTATAATTTCAGTCAGAAGTTTGCAACGCAGTGAAGGAGACATCTCTGACCCTATAAAGTATATATATTCTTGATCAGCATCACTAGGGGAGTCGATCTAGCCATGTCCGTCTGTCCGTCCGTCTGTCCGTCCGTTTCTACGCAAACTAGTCTCTCAGTTTTAAAGCTATCTGCATGAAACTTTCCCAAAAGTTGTCTTTCTATTGCAGGTAGTATATAAGTCGGAAAGAGTAGGATCGGACGACTATAGCATATAGCTCCCATAGGAACAAACGGAAAAATAAATTTCAAAAAATTATAACTTTGGTGTTTTTTAATTTTTTTGTTAGTTCTTCGAGATATAGTAATGGTTAAATATTTCAGAATTACGATTTAAATTTCATCAAAATCGGACGACTATAGCATATAGCTCCCATAGGAATAATCATAAAAATAAATAAAAAAAATTATAACTTTGGTGTTTTTTAATTTTTTTGTTAGTTCTTCGAGATATAGTAATGGTTAAATATTTCAGAATTACGATTTAAATTTCATCAAAATCGGACGACTATAGCATATAGCTCCCATAGGAATAATCATAAAAATAAATAAAAAAAATTATAACTTTGGTGTTTTTTAATTTTTTTGTTAGTTCTTCGAGATATAGTAATGTTTAAATATTTCAGAATTACTGTTCAAATTTCATCAAAATCGGACGAATATAGCACATAGCTCCCATAGGAACAATCGTATAGCCGCCATAGGAACTATCGAATAATTAAGCTGCAAATCATTATAGCTTCAATGTTTTTAAACATACACGCAGGTAAATCATAATTTTAACGTTTTCAAGAGTATTTAGTTTTTAAAATAGCTGCAAGGGTATATGAACTTCGGTTTGCCGAAGTTTGCTTGCTTTCTTGTTTTATTATAAGAATAAATATAGCTGTACGTTCGCGTTAATATCATCTGAAAACACTAAAAAAAAAAAGAAAAGTCAAACAACAACCACATTCACAATTTAATCTAACATAATTCTTTTTGATCAGCTGTCACCGTCGGAAAAGGATCTTTCGCCGTTGGATTGACGACCATGTAAATGAAAAATAATAATAAATTTAAATTATATGGAGATGCTCCCATGAGTATTTGGTTAAAAGTGTTTAGTGAATTCGACTAGGCATATCGGCAAAGAGTGAACGGATACAGAACAACGCTAAAGCCTCTCTCTCGCTCTCGCTTTCGTTTCTTCTGATGAGCAGTTTTGTTTTTTTTTTATTTTGGCCTACGCATTATTCTATTATTATTCTATTCTATTATTCTCTTTTTAACGCATGCAGTCACGCAACGAGAGGCGATAAGAGCTTTGCGATCTTTGTGTTTACCTTTTTGTATTCTTTGCCCTACTTATTACGCTGCCTGCTGAGCCTTGACCTAGTTAAATTTTTGTAATGTGCTGAGACACAGTGGTGTCTAATCATAAAAAGTATGGCTAAACTTTATTTAGTTCTATCACTATGAAATCGATTTAAACTTAATGGTATTTCAAACTATTGAAACATATTACAATTATGGTGATTACATAATTAATATTTTTTAAACATTCTATGCAAAATATTTATCCCTCTTATTTCAGCCAACTTATCTCACTCATTTTGCAAGTAGATAGTCGACTAGGGAATTAAGAAATTGAATTGCATTGTTAACATGCAGTCAAATAACTCATGAAATTTATGTTTAGTTCCTCATCATTATTTTGTTTTAAGTATGTTTAATATAATCTTTATAATGAAGTCCGAATAAGAGATTTTTTAGTTCGGGAATCATGCTGTACATATATGAGTCAATGACCTCGCTGCTACACTACCTTAAGAGATCGCCAAATGAAACCATAAGATGCAATGCACCAGCAATGCACCATTGAAAGGGTGGAGATACTGCCGCTCACAGACATCTGGGATGGACTAACAGGTTGTGTGGAAGGTTATACTTTTCGATTTCCATTTTAATCTATTTTTCTTTCCCTGTTCTGTCCTGTCGAAACTAACTAATGGGTAAACATAGCACGTGATTCGATTCCATCAGCACGTATGTTGCACGAATGTTTCGATTGATATTGTGAGGATCAGTGGCCAGAAGGTAGACAATTGAATCAAAGCGACATTCCTTTCGCAAAGGAGCGCCACTGTTCAGCGTTCAAACTTTGAAATTGCGAGTATCTATACAACTGATGCTCAGCGGAGCCGCACTTACCGCATTTGCCACGGTTAACTGCAATAAGTGCGCGCTTTGCTTTGGCAGACTTGTCCGTGTGACTGCCAGGCTCGAATTTGGCTTTGTTCAAAATCCTCGCAGCATCCAGAAATTTAAACAAGCCTTTAACGGTTGGTAATGCTGAGCTCTGGTGTCTTCTACCCACTTCCTTCTCGGGTCGGCGTTGATTTGGCTAGGACAAGATGAATCACTCCAATCCCATCTAACCCACGAATAATTTCACTGGCGCCATCAGTCGGTTTGCGTAGATTAGACTCCTCGCCTTTGGGGACAGCAGCCAGTCCAATGAAAGTCTTCAGCAGGAGTTCACGATTTGCCTTGGGCGGTCTTATCGTATTCTCGGCAATGAGTTTTCCGGTAAAAAAAACTGCAGCAGGCGTCATGGCCAAGGAAAATGTTCCGTTTTTAGTACGCCGATGAAAGAACTTACTTTGTTGTTGCAGCAATATGGCCATGGCCATGGCCTACCCACTTTAGGTCTACCAAGCGCTAGAAGGTCGCTCTTTAACGACGCGAATAAGGTTCTTTTCAAACCCTCAGTGTTTTCATACAAGTGCATTTCGTCTATATCATCTAGCTTCCATGGGAACAATCGGAATAATAAAAAAAAACACGAAAATTGTAACTTCTCTAATTATCAATTCTTTTTTTTATTCTCGTAACTTCTCTAATTATCAATTCTTTTTTTTTATTCTTTAGTTACTCAGAATTCTTAATTTAATTATATATTTATATAAATTTCAGTTATACGAAGTTTGCTTCCTTTCTTGTTTCAGCTAAGATAAAAAAAGAATAAAAATAAATTTTAATATATTATACAATTTTTTAAAATTTTTTTTTTTTTTATTTACAGAATAAAAAAAATAAAAAAAAAATAGAAACAAGAAAGGTATTTAGACTTCGGCAAGCCGAAGTTCAAATACCCTCACAGCTATTGCATGAATGAAATATTCTTGAAAACAATAAAATTATGATTTACTTGCGTATATGTTTAAAAATTGAAGATTGAAGCTATGATGATTTGCATCATCCGATTTCAGTCGTCTGATTTTGATGAAATTTAAGCCGTAACTCTAATATAATTAACCATTACTTTTTGTCGGAGAACTAAAAAAAAAAATTAAACAAGAAAGGAAGAAAACTTCGAAAAACCGAAGTTTATATACCCTTGAAGCTATTGCAAAAATGAAATATTCCTGAAAACATTAAAATTATAATTGGCTTGCATATATGTTTAAAAACATTTGCAGCTAAATTATTCGATAGTTCCTATGGCAGCTATATGATATCGTTATCCGATTAAAAACGTTAAAATTAAAAGCGTTATTCTGAACTGTCAAATTATTAATTAGTCAAAAAAAAATTCTACAAAAAAATAACAAAATAAAAAAGTACAATTTTTTTCGTAATATTTTTATTGTTTCCATGGAAGCTTTATGTTATGTCATCTGATTTTGATGAAATTTAAACCTTAATTCTAAAATATTTAACCAATACTATATGTCGAAGAACTTTAAAAAAATTTAAAAATCAGCAAAGTTATACTTTTTTCATTTATTTTTCCGATTGTTTCTATGGGAGCTATATGCTATAGTCGTCCGATCCGTCTCGTTCCGACTTATATTTTGCAATAGAAGGACAAATTTTGGTAGTTTCATGCGGTAGCTTTAAAACTGAGAGACTAGTTTGCGTAGAAACGGACAGACGGACATGGCTAGATCGACTCTGCTTGTGCTGATCAAGAATATATATACTTTATAGGGTCCGAAACGCTTCCTTCACTGCGTTGCAAACTTATGACTGAAATTATAATACCTTACACCTACATACATACAAGTATATAGTCAACCAATGTATATTTTCTCGACCTCGATTTGTTGCAATGCAGTTAAAGTAAAAAATTGAAGAAAAAGCATTAGTCTGTATGCGTTCAAAAGTGTTCAAATTCAAATATAATAAAAAATTAATAACGTCTACAAGTATATAGACAATTTTAAAAATTAATATAATGAGTACATCTATGCTTAGTATAAAGTAATGTTCGTTCGTTTTTATTTTGTTATATTGTTAGGCTAATACAATTTACGTCAATTTCATTTGGGAATATATCTATTATGTATAGATAAGTCTTTTCCATCGTATGCAATTCCTTCATAGAAAAACAACAACCACATTCACCAATTAATCTAACATAATTCTTTTTGATCAGCTGTCACCGTCGGAAAAGGATCTTTCGCCGTTGGATTGACGACCATGTAAATGAAAAATAATAATAAATTTAAATTATATGGAGATGCTCCCATGAGTATTTGGTTAAAAGTGTTTAGTGAATTCGACTAGGCATATCGGCAAAGAGTGAACGGATACAGAACAACGCTAAAGCCTCTCTCTCGCTCTCGCTTTCGTTTCTTCTGATGAGCAGTTTTGTTTTTTTTTTATTTTGGCCTACGCATTATTCTATTATTATTCTATTCTATTATTCTCTTTTTAACGCATGCAGTCACGCAACGAGAGGCGATAAGAGCTTTGCGATCTTTGTGTTTACCTTTTTGTATTCTTTGCCCTACTTATTACGCTGCCTGCTGAGCCTTGACCTAGTTAAATTTTTGTAATGTGCTGAGACACAGTGGTGTCTAATCATAAAAAGTATGGCTAAACTTTATTTAGTTCTATCACTATGAAATCGATTTAAACTTAATGGTATTTCAAACTATTGAAACATATTACAATTATGGTGATTACATAATTAATATTTTTTAAACATTCTATGCAAAATATTTATCCCTCTTATTTCAGCCAACTTATCTCACTCATTTTGCAGTAGATAGTCGACTAGGGAATTAAGAAATTGAATTGCATTGTTAACATGCATTTAAATAACTCATGAAATTTATGTTTAGTTCCTCATCTTTATTTTTTTTTAAGTATGTTTAATAAAATCTTTATAATGAAGTCCGAATAAGAGATTTTTTAGTTCGGGAATCATGCTGTACATATATGAGTCAATGACCTCGCTGCTACACTACCTTAAGAGATCGCCAAATGAAACCATAAGATGCAATGCACCAGCAATGCACCATTGAAAGGGTGGAGATACTGCCGCTCACAGACATCTGGGATGGACCAACAGGTTGTGTGGAAGGTTATACTTTTCGATTTCCATTTTAATCTATTTTTCTTTCCCTGTTCTGTCCTGTCGAAACTAACTAATGGGTAAACATAGCACGTGATTCGATTCCATCAGCACGTATGTTGCACGAATGTTTCGATTGATATTCTGAGGATCAGTGGCCAGAAGGTAGACAATTGAATCAAAGCGACATTCCTCTCGCAAAGGAGCGCCACTGTTCAGTGTTCAAACTTTGAAATTGCGAGTATCTATAGAACTGATGCTCAGCGGAGCCACACTTACCGCATTTGCCACGGTTAACTGCAATAAGTGCGCGCTTTGCTTTTGCAGACTTGTCCGTGTGACTGCCAGGCTCGAATTTGGCTTTGTTCAAAATCCTCGCAGCATCCAGAAATTTAAACAAGCCTTTAACGGTTGGTAATGCTGAGCTCTGGTGTCTTCTACCCACTTCCTTCTCGGGTCGGCGTTGATTTGGCTAGGACAAGATGAATCACTCCAATCCCATCTAACCCACGAATAATTTCACTGGCGCCATCAGTCGGTTTGCGTAGATTAGACTCCTCGCCGTTGGGGACAGCAGCCAGTCCAATGAAAGTCTTCAGCAGGAGTTCACGATTTGCCTTGGGCGGTCTTATCGTATTCTCGGCAATGAGTTTTCCGGTAAAAAAAACTGCAGCAGGCGGCGTGGCCAAGGAAAATGTTCCGTTTTTAGAACGCCGCTGAAAGAACTTACTTTGTTGTTGCAGCAATATGGCCATGTAGCTACCCACTTTAGGTCTACCAAGCGCTAGAAGGTCGCTATTTAACGACGCGAATAAGGTTCTTTTCAAACCCTCAGTGTTTTCATACAAGTGCATTTCGTCTATATCATCTAGCTTCCATGGGAACAATCGGAATAATAAAAAAAACACAAAAATTGTAACTTCTCTACTTATCAATTCTTTTTTTTATTCTCGTAACTTCTCTAATTATCAATTCTTTTTTTTATTCTTTTGGACATAGTTACTCAGAATTCTTAATTTAATTATATATTTATATAAATTTCAGTTATACGAAGTTTGCTTCCTTTCTTGTTTCAGCTAAGATAAAAAAAGAATAAAAAAAAATTTTAATATATTATACAATTTTTTAAAATTTTTTTTTTTATTTACAGAATAAAAAAAAATAAAAAAAAAATAGAAACAAGAAAGGTATTTAGACTTCGGCAAGCCGAAGTTCAAATACCCTCACAGCTATTGCATGAATGAAATATTCTTGAAAACATTAAAATTATGATTTACTTGCGTATATGTTTAAAAATTGAAGATTGAAGCTATGATGATTTGCAGCTCAATTATTCGATAGTTCCGATTTCAATAAAATTAAAAGCGTAATTCTGAACTTTCAAATTATTAATAAGAAAAAATATTCTAAAAAAATTTTAAAATAGAAAAGTTACATTTATAAACATTTTTTTAAATATTTTTGTTCCTATTGAAGCTTTATGATATAGTCGTCTGATTTTGATGAAATTTAAGCCGTAACTCTAATATAATTAACCATTACTTTTTGTCGGAGAACTAAAAAAAAATTAAACAAGAAAGGAAGAAAACTTCGGAAAACCGAAGTTTATATACCCTTGAAGCTATTGCAAAAATGAAATATTCCTGAAAACATTAAAATTATAATTGGCTTGCGTATATGTTTAAAAACATTTGCAGCTAAATTATTCGATAGTTCCTATGGCAGCTATATGATATCGTTATCCGATTAAAAACGTTAAAATTAAAAGCGTTATTCTGAACTGTCAAATTATTAATTAGTCAAAAAAATTCTACAAAAAATAACAAAATAAAAAAGTACAATTTTTTTCGTAATATTTTTATTGTTTCCATGGGAGCTTTATGTTATGTCATCTGATTTTGATGAAATTTAAACCTTAATTCTAAACAAGAAAGAAAGCAAACTTCGGCAAGCCGAAGTTCATATACCCTTGCAGCTAATGCATGAATTAAATACTTTTGAAAACATTTAAATTATGATTTACTTGAGTATTTACTGAAAAACAGTGAAGCTATGATGATTTGCAGCTCAATTATTAGATAGTTATTTTATATATTTTTATTAGTTCTATGGGAGCTATATGATATAGACGTCCGATTTTGATAAAAATTAAACCATAATTCTAAAATAATTAAACATTTCCATATGTCGAAGAACTAAACAAAAAATTAAAAAACAGAAAAGTTATAATTTTTTTTCATTTATTTCTCCGATTGTTCCTATGGGACCTATATGATATAGTCGTCCGACTTTGATGAAATTTAAACCGTAAATCGAAAATATTTAACCATTACTAAATGTCGAAGAACTAAACAAAAAATTAAAAAACAGAAAAGTAATAATTTTTTTTCATTTATTTTTCCGATTGTTCCTATGGGAGCTATATGCTATAGTCGTCCGATTTTGATGAAATTTAAAACGTAAATCGGAAATATTTAACCATTACTAAATGTCGAAGAACTAAACAAAAAATTAAAAAACAGCAAAGTTATAATTTTTTTTCATTTATTTTTCCGATTGTTCCTATGGGAGCTATATGCTATAGTCGTCCGATTTTGATGAAATTTAAACCGTAAATCGGAAATATTTAACCATTACTAAATGTCGAAGAACTAAACAAAAAATTAAAAAACAGCAAAGTTATAATTTTTTTTCATTTATTTTTCCGATTGTTCCTATGGGAGCTATATGCTATAGTCGGGTCGGCGTTGATTTGGCTAGGACAAGATGAATCACTCCAATCCCATCTAACCCACGAATAATTTCACTGGCGCCATCAGTCGGTTTGCGTAGATTAGACTCCTCGCCGTTGGGGACAGCAGCCAGTCCAATGAAAGTCTTCAGCAGGAGTTCACGATTTGCATTGGGCGGTCTTATCGTATTCTCGGCAATGAGTTTTCCGGTAAAAAAAACTGCAGCAGGCGGCGTGGCCAAGGAAAATGTTCCGTTTTTAGAACGCCGCTGAAAGAACTTACTTTGTTGTTGCAGCAATATGGCCATGTAGCTACCCACTTTAGGTCTACCAAGCGCTAGAAGGTCGCTATTTAACGACGCGAATAAGGTTCTTTTCAAACCCTCAGTGTTTTCATACAAGTGCATTTCGTCTATATCATCTAGCTTCCATGGGAACAATCGGAATAATAAAAAAAAACACAAAAATTGTAACTTCTCTACTTATCAATTCTTTTTTTTATTCTCGTAACTTCTCTAATTATCAATTCTTTTTTTTATTCTTTTGGACATAGTTACTCAGAATTCTTAATTTAATTATATATTTATATAAATTTCAGTTATACGAAGTTTGCTTCCTTTCTTGTTTCAGCTAAGATAAAAAAAGAATAAAAAAAATTTTAATATATTATACAATTTTTTAAAATTTTTTTTTTTATTTACAGAATAAAAAAAAAAAAAAAAAAATAGAAACAAGAAAGGTATTTAGACTTCGGCAAGCCGAAGTTCAAATACCCTCACAGCTATTGCATGAATGAAATATTCTTGAAAACATTAAAATTATGATTTACTTGCGTATATGTTTAAAAATTGAAGATTGAAGCTATGATGATTTGCAGCTCAATTATTCGATAGTTCCGATTTCAATAAAATTAAAAGCGTAATTCTGAACTTTCAAATTATTAATAAGAAAAAAATATTCTAAAAAAATTTTAAAATAGAAAAGTTACATTTATAAACATTTTTTTAAATATTTTTGTTCCTATTGAAGCTTTATGATATAGTCGTCTGATTTTGATGAAATTTAAGCCGTAACTCTAATATAATTAACCATTACTTTTTGTCGGAGAACTAAAAAAAAAATTAAACAAGAAAGGAAGAAAACTTCGGAAAACCGAAGTTTATATACCCTTGAAGCTATTGCAAAAATGAAATATTCCTGAAAACATTAAAATTATAATTGGCTTGCGTATATGTTTAAAAACATTTGCAGCTAAATTATTCGATAGTTCCTATGGCAGCTATATGATATCGTTATCCGATTAAAAACGTTAAAATTAAAAGCGTTATTCTGAACTGTCAAATTATTAATTAGTCAAAAAAAAATTCTACAAAAAATAACAAAATAAAAAAGTACAATTTTTTTCGTAATATTTTTATTGTTTCCATGGGAGCTTTATGTTATGTCATCTGATTTTGATGAAATTTAAACCTTAATTCTAAACAAGAAAGAAAGCAAACTTCGGCAAGCCGAAGTTCATATACCCTTGCAGCTAATGCATGAATTAAATACTTTTGAAAACATTTAAATTATGATTTACTTGAGTATTTACTGAAAAACAGTGAAGCTATGATGATTTGCAGCTCAATTATTAGATAGTTATTTTATATATTTTTATTAGTTCTATGGGAGCTATATGATATAGACGTCCGATTTTGATAAAAATTAAACCATAATTCTAAAATAATTAAACATTTCCATATGTCGAAGAACTAAACAAAAAAATTAAAAACAGAAAAGTTATAATTTTTTTTCATTTATTTCTCCGATTGTTCCTATGGGACCTATATGATATAGTCGTCCGACTTTGATGAAATTTAAACCGTAAATCGAAAATATTTAACCATTACTAAATGTCGAAGAACTAAACAAAAAATTAAAAAACAGAAAAGTAATAATTTTTTTTCATTTATTTTTCCGATTGTTCCTATGGGAGCTATATGCTATAGTCGTCCGATTTTGATGAAATTTAAAACGTAAATCGGAAATATTTAACCATTACTAAATGTCGAAGAACTAAACAAAAAATTAAAAAACAGCAAAGTTATAATTTTTTTTCATTTATTTTTCCGATTGTTCCTATGGGAGCTATATGCTATAGTCGTCCGATTTTGATGAAATTTAAACCGTAAATCGGAAATATTTAACCATTACTAAATGTCGAAGAACTAAACAAAAAATTAAAAAACAGCAAAGTTATAATTTTTTTTCATTTATTTTTCCGATTGTTCCTATGGGAGCTATATGCTATAGTCGGGTCGGCGTTGATTTGGCTAGGACAAGATGAATCACTCCAATCCCATCTAACCCACGAATAATTTCACTGGCGCCATCAGTCGGTTTGCGTAGATTAGACTCCTCGCCGTTGGGGACAGCAGCCAGTCCAATGAAAGTCTTCAGCAGGAGTTCACGATTTGCCTTGGGCGGTCTTATCGTATTCTCGGCAATGAGTTTTCCGGTAAAAAAAACTGCAGCAGGCGGCGTGGCCAAGGAAAATGTTCCGTTTTTAGAACGCCGCTGAAAGAACTTACTTTGTTGTTGCAGCAATATGGCCATGTAGCTACCCACTTTAGGTCTACCAAGCGCTAGAAGGTCGCTATTTAACGACGCGAATAAGGTTCTTTTCAAACCCTCAGTGTTTTCATACAAGTGCATTTCGTCTATATCATCTAGCTTCCATGGGAACAATCGGAATAATAAAAAAAAACACAAAAATTGTAACTTCTCTACTTATCAATTCTTTTTTTTATTCTCGTAACTTCTCTAATTATCAATTCTTTTTTTATTCTTTTGGACATAGTTACTCAGAATTCTTAATTTAATTATATATTTATATAAATTTCAGTTATACGAAGTTTGCTTCCTTTCTTGTTTCAGCTAAGATAAAAAAAGAATAAAAAAAAATTTTAATATATTATACAATTTTTTAAAATTTTTTTTTTTTATTTACAGAATAAAAAAAAATAAAAAAAAAATAGAAACAAGAAAGGTATTTAGACTTCGGCAAGCCGAAGTTCAAATACCCTCACAGCTATTGCATGAATGAAATATTCTTGAAAACATTAAAATTATGATTTACTTGCGTATATGTTTAAAAATTGAAGATTGAAGCTATGATGATTTGCAGCTCAATTATTCGATAGTTCCGATTTCAATAAAATTAAAAGCGTAATTCTGAACTTTCAAATTATTAATAAGAAAAAAATATTCTAAAAAAATTTTAAAATAGAAAAGTTACATTTATAAACATTTTTTTAAATATTTTTGTTCCTATTGAAGCTTTATGATATAGTCGTCTGATTTTGATGAAATTTAAGCCGTAACTCTAATATAATTAACCATTACTTTTTGTCGGAGAACTAAAAAAAAATTAAACAAGAAAGGAAGAAAACTTCGGAAAACCGAAGTTTATATACCCTTGAAGCTATTGCAAAAATGAAATATTCCTGAAAACATTAAAATTATAATTGGCTTGCGTATATGTTTAAAAACATTTGCAGCTAAATTATTCGATAGTTCCTATGGCAGCTATATGATATCGTTATCCGATTAAAAACGTTAAAATTAAAAGCGTTATTCTGAACTGTCAAATTATTAATTAGTCAAAAAAAAATTCTACAAAAAATAACAAAATAAAAAAGTACAATTTTTTTCGTAATATTTTTATTGTTTCCATGGGAGCTTTATGTTATGTCATCTGATTTTGATGAAATTTAAACCTTAATTCTAAACAAGAAAGAAAGCAAACTTCGGCAAGCCGAAGTTCATATACCCTTGCAGCTAATGCATGAATTAAATACTTTTGAAAACATTTAAATTATGATTTACTTGAGTATTTACTGAAAAACAGTGAAGCTATGATGATTTGCAGCTCAATTATTAGATAGTTATTTTATATATTTTTATTAGTTCTATGGGAGCTATATGATATAGACGTCCGATTTTGATAAAATTTAAACCATAATTCTAAAATAATTAAACATTTCCATATGTCGAAGAACTAAACAAAAAATTAAAAAACAGAAAAGTTATAATTTTTTTTCATTTATTTCTCCGATTGTTCCTATGGGACCTATATGATATAGTCGTCCGACTTTGATGAAATTTAAACCGTAAATCGAAAATATTTAACCATTACTAAATGTCGAAGAACTAAACAAAAAATTAAAAAACAGAAAAGTAATAATTTTTTTTCATTTATTTTTCCGATTGTTCCTATGGGAGCTATATGCTATAGTCGTCCGATTTTGATGAAATTTAAAACGTAAATCGGAAATATTTAACCATTACTAAATGTCGAAGAACTAAACAAAAAATTAAAAAACAGCAAAGTTATAATTTTTTTTCATTTATTTTTCCGATTGTTCCTATGGGAGCTATATGCTATAGTCGTCCGATTTTGATGAAATTTAAACCGTAAATCGGAAATATTTAACCATTACTAAATGTCGAAGAACTAAACAAAAAATTAAAAAACAGCAAAGTTATAATTTTTTTTCATTTATTTTTCCGATTGTTCCTATGGGAGCTATATGCTATAGTCGTCCGATCCGGCTCGTTCCGACTTATATACTACCTGCAATAGAAAGACAGCTTTTGGGAAAGTTTCATGCAGATAGCTTTAAAACTGAGAGACTAGTTTGCATATAAACGGACGGACAGACAGATAGACGGACAGACGGACGGACAGACGGACAGACGGACGGACAGACGGACATGGCTAGATCGACTCGCCTAGTGATGCTGATCAAGAATATATATACTTTATAGGGTCGGAGATGTCTCCTTCACTGCGTTGCAAACTTCTGACTGAAATTATAATACCCTCTGCAAGGGTATAATAAAATATTTAACCAATACTATATGTCGAAGAACTTTAAAAAAATTTAAAAATCAGCAAAGTTATACTTTTTTCATTTATTTTTCCGATTGTTTCTATGGGAGCTATATGCTATAGTCGTCCGATCCGTCTCGTTCCGACTTATATTTTGCAATAGAAGGACAAATTTTGGTAGTTTCATGCGGTAGCTTTAAAACTGAGAGACTAGTTTGCGTAGAAACGGACAGACGGACATGGCTAGATCGACTCTCCTTGTGCTGATCAAGAATATATATACTTTATAGGGTCCGAAACGCTTCCTTCACTGCGTTGCAAACTTATGACTGAAATTATAATACCTTACACCTACATACATACAAGTATATAGTCAACCAATGTATATTTTCTCGACCTCGATTTGTTGCAATGCAGTTAAAGTAAAAAATTGAAGAAAAAGCATTAGTCTGTATGCGTTCAAAAGTGTTCAAATTCAAATATACATAAAAAATTAATAACGTCTACAAGTATAAGTATATAGACAATTTTAAAAATTAATATAATGAGTACATCTATGCTTGGTATAAAGTAATGTTCGTTCGTTTTTATTTTGTTATATTGTTAGGCTAATACAATTTACGTCAATTTCATTTGGGAATATTTCTATTATGTATAGATAAGTCTTTTCCATCGTATGCAATTCCTTCATAGAAAAACAACAACCACATTCACCAATTAATCTAACATAATTCTTTTTGATCAGCTGTCACCGTCGGAAAAGGATCTTTCGCCGTTGGATTGACGACCATGTAAATGAAAAATAATAATAAATTTAAATTATATGGAGATGCTCCCATGAGTATTTGGTTAAAAGTGTTTAGTGAATTCGACTAGGCATATCGGCAAAGAGTGAACGGATACGGAACAACGCTAAAGCCTCTCTCTCGCTCTCGCTTTCATTTCTTCTGATGAGCAGTTTTTTTTTTTTTTTTTTTATTTTGGCCTACGCATTATTCTATTATTATTCTATTCTATTATTCTCTTTTTAACGCATGCAGTCACGCAACGAGAGGCGATAAGAGCTTTGCGATCTTTGTGTTTACCTTTTTGTATTCTTTGCCCTACTTATTACGCTGCCTGCTGAGCCTTGACCTAGTTAAATTTTTGTAATGTGCTGAGACACAGTGGTGTCTCATCATAAAAAGTATGGCTAAACTTTATTTAGTTCTATCACTATGAAATCGATTTAAACTTAATGGTATTTCAAACTATTGAAACATATTACAATTATTGTGATTACATAATTAATATTTTTTAAACATTCTATGCAAAATATTTATCCCTCTTATTTCAGCCAACTTATCTCACTCATTTTGCAGTAGATAGTCGACTAGGGAATTAAGAAATTGAATTGCATTGTTAACATGCAGTCAAATAACTCATGAAATTTATGTTTAGTTCCTCATCTTTATTTTGTTTTAAGTATGTTTAATAAAATCTTTATAATGAAGTCCGAATAAGAGATTTTTTAGTTCGGGAATCATGCTGTACATATATGAGTCAATGACCTTGCTGCTACACTACCTTAAGAGATCGCCAAATGAAACCATAAGATGCAATGCACCAGCAATGCACCATTGAAAGGGTGGAGATACTGCCGCTCACAGACATCTGGGATGGACCAACAGGTTGTGTGGAAGGTTATACTTTTCGATTTCCATTTTAATCTATTTTTCTTTCCCTGTTCTGTCCTGTCGAATCTAACTAATGGGTAAACATAGCACGTGATTCGATTCCATCAGCACGTATGTTGCACGAATGTTTCGATTGATATTCTGAGGATCAGTGGCCAGAAGGTAGACAATTGAATCAAAGCGACATTCCTTTCGCAAAGGAGCGCCACTGTTCAGTGTTCAAACTTTGAAATTGCGAGTATCTATACAACTGATGCTCAGCGGAGCCACACTTACCGCATTTGCCACGGTTAACTGCAATAAGTGCGCGCTTTGCTTTTGCAGACTTGTCCGTGTGACTGCCAGGCTCGAATTTGGCTTTGTTCAAAATCCTCGCAGCATCCAGAAATTTAAACAAGCCTTTAACGGTTTGTAATGCTGAGCTCTGGTGTCTTCTACCCACTTCCTTCTCGGGTCGGCGTTGATTTGGCTAGGACAAGATGAATCACTCCAATCCCATCTAACCCACGAATAATTTCACTGGCGCCATCAGTCGGTTTGCGTAGATTAGACTCCTCGCCGTTGGGGACAGCAGCCAGTCCAATGAAAGTCTTCAGCAGGAGTTCACGATTTGCCTTGGGCGGTCTTATCGTATTCTCGGCAATGAGTTTTCCGGTAAAAAAAACTGCAGCAGGCGGCGTGGCCAAGGAAAATGTTCCGTTTTTAGAACGCCGCTGAAAGAAATTACTTTGTTGTTGCAGCAATATGGCCATGTAGCTACCCACTTTGGGTCTACCAAGCGCTAGAAGGTCGCTATTTAACGACGCGAATAAGGTTCTTTTCAAACCCTCAGTCATACAAGTGCATTTCGTCTATATCATCTAGCTTCCATGGGAACAATCGGAATAATAAAAAAAAAAACACAAAAATTGTAACTTCTCTAATTATCAATTCTTTTTTTTATTCTTTTGGACATAGTTACTCAGAATTCTTAATTTAATTATATATTTATATAAATTTCAGTTATACGAAGTTTGCTTCCTTTCTTGTTTCAACTAAGATAAAAAAAGAATAAAAAAAACTTTAAATATATTATACAATTTTTTAAATGTTTTTTTTTTTAATTTACAGAATAAAAAAAAATAGAAACAAGAAAGATATTTATACTTCGGCAAGCCGAAGTTCAAATACCCTCACAGCTATTGCATGAATGAAATATTCTTGAAAACATTAAAATTATGATTTACTTGCGGTAATGTTTAAAAATTGAAGATTGAAGCTATGATGATTTGCAGCTCAATTATTCGATAGTTCCGATTTCAATAAAATTAAAAGCGTAATTCTGAACTTTCAAATTATTAATAAGAAAAAAATATTCTAAAAAAATTTTAAAATAGAAAAGTTACATTTATAAACATTTTTTTAAATATTTTTGTTCCTATTGAAGCTTTATGATATAGTCGTCTGATTTTGATGAAATTTAAGCCGTAACTCTAATATAATTAACCATTACTTTTTGTCGGAGAACTAAAAAAAAAAATTAAACAAGAAAGGAAGAAAACTTCGGAAAACCTAAGTTTATATACCCTTGAAGCTATTGCAAAAATGAAATATTCCTGAAAACATTAAAATTATAATTGGCTTGCGTATATGTTTAAAAACATTTGCAGCTAAATTATTCGATAGTTCCTATGGCAGCTATATGATATCGTTATCCGATTAAAAACGTTAAAATTAAAAGCGTTATTCTGAACTGTCAAATTATTAATTAGTCAAAAAAAAATTCTACAAAAAAATTACAAAATAAAAAAGTACAATTTTTTTCGTAATATTTTTATGTTATGTCATCTGATTTTGATGAAATTTAAACCTTAATTCTAAAATATTTAACCAATACTATATGTCGAAGAACTTTAAAAAAATTTTAAAATCAGCAAAGTTATACTTTTTTCATTTATTTTTCCGATTGTTTCTATGGGAGCTATATGCTATAGTCGTCCGATCCGTCTCGTTCCGACTTATATTTTGCAATAGAAGGACAAATTTTGGTAGTTTCATGCGGTAGCTTTAAAACTGAGAGACTAGTTTGCATAGAAACGGACAGACGGACATGGCTAGATCGACTCTCCTTGTGCTGATCAAATATATATATACTTTATAGGGTCCGAAACGCTTCCTTCACTGCGTTGCAAACTTATGACTGAAATTATAATACCTTACACCTACATACATACAAGTATATAGTCAACCAATGTATATTTTCTCGACCTCGATTTGTTGCAATGCAGTTAAAGTAAAAAATTGAAGAAAAAGCATTAGTCTGTATGCGTTCAAAAGTGTTCAAATTCAAATATACATAAAAAATTAATAACGTCTACAAGTATAAGTATATAGACAATTTTAAAAATTAATATAATGAGTACATCTATGCTTAGTATAAAGTAATGTTCGTTCGTTTTTATTTTGTTATATTGTTAGGCTAATACAATTTACGTCAATTTCATTTGGGAATATTTCTATTATGTATAGATAAGTCTTTTCCATCGTATGCAATTCCTTCATAGAAAAACAACAACCACATTCACCAATTAATCTAACATAATTCTTTTTGATCAGCTGTCACCGTCGGAAAAGGATCTTTCGCCGTTGGATTGACGACCATGTAAATGAAAAATAATAATAAATTTAAATTATATGGAGACAATTGAATCAAAGCGACATTCCTTTCGCAAAGGAGCGCCACTGTTCAGTGTTCAAACTTTGAAATTGCGAGTATCTATACAACTGATGCTCAGCGGAGCCACACTTACCGCATTTGCCACGGTTAACTGCAATAAGTGCGCGCTTTGCTTTGGCAGACTTGTCCGTGTGACTGCCAGGCTCGAATTTGGCTTTGTTCAAAATCCTCGCAGCATCCAGAAATTTAAACAAGCCTTTAACGGTTGGTAATGCTGAGCTCTGATGTCATCTACCCACTTCCTTCTCGGGTCGGCGTTGATTTGGCTAGGACAAGATGAATCACTCCAATCCCATCTAACCCACGAATCATTTCACTGGCGCCATCAGTCGGTTTGCGTAGATTAGACTCCTCGCCGTTGGGGACAGACAGCAGCCAGTCCAATGAAAGTCTTCAGCAGGAGTTCACGATTTGCCTTGGGCGGTCTTATCGTATTCTCGGCAATGAGTTTTCCGGTAAAAAAAACTGCAGCAGGCGGCGTGGCCAAGGAAAATGTTCCGTTTTTAGAACGCCGCTGAAAGAACTTACTTTGTTGTTGCAGCAATATGGCCATGTAGCTACCCACTTTAGGTCTACCAAGCGCTAGAAGGTCGCTATTTAACGACGCGAATAAGGTTCTTTTCAAACCCTCAGTGTTTTCATACAAGTGCATTTCGTCTATATCATCTAGCTTCCATGGAAACAATCGGAATAATAAAAAAAAACACAAAAATTGTAACTTCTCTAATTATCAATTCTTTTTTTTATTCTCGTAACTTCTCTAATTATCAATTCTTTTTTTTATTCTTTTCGACATAGTTACTCAGAATTATTAATTTAATTATATATTTATATAAATTTCAGTTATACGAAGTTTGCTTCCTTTCTTGTTTCAGCTAAGATAAAAAAAGAATAAAAAAAATTTTAATATATTATACAATTTTTTAAAAATTATTTTTTTTTATTTACAGATTAAAAAAAAATAGAAACAAGAAAGGTATTTAGACTTCGGCAAGCCGAAGTTCAAATACCCTCACAGCTATTGCATGAATGAAATATTCTTGAAAACGTTAAAATTATGATTTACTTGCGTATTTGCAGCTCAATTATTCGATAGTTCCGATTTCAATAAAATTAAAAGCGTAATTCTGAACTTTCAAATTATTAATAAGAAAAAAATATTTTAAAAAAATGTTAAAATAGAAAAGTTACATTTATAAACATTTTTTAAAATATTTTTGTTCCTATTGAAGCTTTATGATATAGTCGTCTGATTTTGATGAAATTTAAGCCGTAACTCTAATATAATTAACCATTACTTTTTGTCGGAGAACTAAAAAAAAATTAAACAAGAAAGGAAGAAAACTTCGGAAAACCGAAGTTTATATACCCTTGAAGCTATTTCAAAAATGAAATATTCCTGAAAACATTAAAATTATAATTGGCTTGCATATATGTTTAAAAACATTTGCAGCTAAATTATTCGATAGTTCCTATGGCAGCTATATGATATCGTTATCCGATTAAAAACGTTAAAATTAAAAGCGTTATTCTGAACTGTCAAATTATTAATTAGTCAAAAAAAAATTCTACAAAAAAATTACAAAATAAAAAAGTACAATTTTTTTCGTAATATTTTTATGTTATGTCATCTGATTTTGATGAAATTTAAACCTTAATTCTAAAATATTTAACCAATACTATATGTCGAAGAACTTTAAAAAAATTTTAAAATCAGCAAAGTTATACTTTTTTCATTTATTTTTCCGATTGTTTCTATGGGAGCTATATGCTATAGTCGTCCGATCCGTCTCGTTCCGACTTATATTTTGCAATAGAAGGACAAATTTTGGTAGTTTCATGCGGTAGCTTTAAAACTGAGAGACTAGTTTGCGTAGAAACGGACAGACGGACATGGCTAGATCGACTCTCCTTGTGCTGATCAAATATATATATACTTTATAGGGTCCGAAACGCTTCCTTCACTGCGTTGCAAACTTATGACTGAAATTATAATACCTTACACCTACATACATACAAGTATATAGTCAACCAATGTATATTTTCTCGACCTCGATTTGTTGCAATGCAGTTAAAGTAAAAAATTGAAGAAAAAGCATTAGTCTGTATGCGTTCAAAAGTGTTCAAATTCAAATATACATAAAAAATTAATAACGTCTACAAGTACAAGTTTATAGACAATTTTAAAAATTAATATAATGAGTACATCTATGCTTAGTATAAAGTAATGTTCGTTCGTTTTTATTTTGTTATATTGTTAGGCTAATACAATTTACGTCAATTTCATTTGGGAATATATCTATTATGTATAGATAAGTCTTTTCCATCGTATGCAATTCCTTCATAGAAAAACTTTCGATTTGAGCGACATTGAGGACCACACCTAGTAGAGCCACAACTTCGGCATTCATACCAGCAACCATCACAATCTTTATTCATACAGTCACCTGACAAAAAATTGTTATATTTTAAATTTTGAGCTCTGCCTGGCACTTACAAATGTCCAGTCCGTTGAACCGAATATGTCCGATTTCGTCATATGCACCATTTTTGCCCATATATTGACCTTTTTTCTTTCCTTTTCTTTTATTTTTTTCTGAATCTAATTTCGCATCGTCGTTGGAGATACATTTTTTCCTTTGTCTCTGCCGCAGATTGCGTCCTATGGAATAATCAGGATCTATATATGAACTCATTACTACGCACAACAAAACTAACGTTTGGGACATCGATACTGTACAAATAAGCCATTATGACCGCGACCTAAAAATGTTTACATACCATACACTAATAGTGCGAACACACTAAGCCTAATTCCATTGCCGCATTAGTGGATATTTTAAATGTGCCTGATTCCATTGGCGCATTAGCATTTAGCTAATGCTACTCCGACATGTGAGTGGCACGAACAGCTGATCTGGGTTTGTTTTCTTTTGAATTTTCGCAAATAAAAAGAAAATGAATTTAAAATCATGAACATGAGCGAGTTTACGGATATTTTTAATGCCCAACAGGACATCCATAATGCGACCCAGGCATTTGCCCACTTGGACGTCAAGGAGAGGGAGCTGATGGTGTTGTTTGACGGGTTTGCAAGGATCAACAGTACCATTTAAAAATAAAAAGGACAAGGATCTTCGTATATGTGGTAGTTATTTCCTGCCAGAGATCCAGCATTAATGTATTGTGGAGCTGTTTTCAGTCGTTTTTATGCAAAGAGGATTTTACATTTGAAAGAAATCAAAAATAGCGCCATTCTTGCATATAAAAACCAGCTGTTTAAGGGGTGGCACTAACATAATATCGTGATATATCAGTATTTTCCGGTATTTATTCTAAAAACGTTCAGGGCGAACGATTTTTATTCGCATTTATTTATCGCATAATGCGCATTTACCCTTATGGGATTCCCTGTGTTAAATAAATTCGCATTCGGCTAAATGCGTTTTAATGCGCCAGTGGAATCCGGCTATGACTCAACATTGGTGCAAAAAGCTAAACATATATTGTATTTATACAACTGGCCAAGCGAAATGGTTTTGATTTTTTTTTTATAAACTCGTGATCGCTTAGAGCCAGAACCTATCTACCATCCAAAAAACAAACAAAAAAATAACGGTTGGAATTTTCAACAGATATGGAAAATCCGTTTTCCACAAGAGCACATCCACCTTCCATCTTCCGATTTCAGCTGATCTGAACAGCTATTGCTCGTCGTAAACAAAGTCAACAGGTCAACCATCTTTGTTTACGTTTTGACGAGCAATAGCTGTTCAGATAAGCTGAAATCGGAAGGTGGATGTGCTCTGTGGTAAGCCGAAGTTTCACTTTTTTCAGGGATGAACTGCTTGGAAAGAGGGTTGCATCGCAGAAACATCGGCTAACTATCACATAAATAAGTCCGTCAAAGTCCGTCAAATTTTAACGGCGGACTAACTGGAAAGTTTTGGAACGGCAAAACCCTATGGACCATCCCTTCAACGGATGGTGGAAGGTGGATGGATCTCTGTGGAAATACCCTATTAAGTAAGTGTTAGGCAATTGTTTTATATATTCGTAAAGTCTATACAATTTTATAAATCTAAAAAATAGATATAAAAAAAAAAATAATTTAAATAGTATATTATATATTAATATATATATTTTTTAAAAAAATGTTTTTTAATAAAAATGTTGTTTTCAATAATATTTCAGATAATGAAAAGAAATAGATATGTACATTTAATAATTTACATTCAAAGCGTGTTTTTGCTCTGAATTTTTTTTTTCTGAATTCCCAATGCTATTTTTTTCCCGCCACTGTGACTTTAAGCAGTAATCAAACAAACGTTACTCCTGAAAAACAAATGAAAGGAACAATAAGGAACATGCAAAAATGCGCGGGGTATTTTTCGTTTCTTTTGCATTGCTTGTCACTTGCATTTTGATTTTCAATTACCCAAGCTGTTTTTGTGAACTTCTTAATTTCGTTGCTGTTAAAATTCAGATATAGGGTTGTTCTAAACAAATAAGGGTTGTTATTAACAAATAAGGGTTGTTTTAAGCAAATAAGTGAGAAAAATGTAAATGTAAATGTAAAAAAAAAACAACAAAATGTGAAGTATACATGTGCTAAAAATTAAAAAAATGTATAATTATATTCCAACATTGAACTTGTCTGCACTGAGAGAACCTACACATATAAAGACTTCAAAAGGATTGTCTATACTAGATTGAATGCTGATTGCAATCTCTGTGATTGGGATAATATATTATACCTGACAACAGTAGATACTCAACTGGGACTACTTAACTCTAATATTGACTATTTATATAACAAAGTAAAGACCCTGAAAAATTCATTAAAACTATGTTTTAATAAAAATATTAACTATTAACTAACTAACAAAGCATACTCTTAATCAGAGGTGCTCACGCCTATGCACAAATGAAAGTTATTTTATCTTCCTTGGCTCTACACTTATTTCTTTACTTGTGTTCGTTATCTTTTTTAAATATTTTGGTATACGCCCTGCCAAAAGGAAAGAACAACGGTGAACAGGCTAATTTGAACATTTAAGCGGCAAGCTAACTATTAGAATGGAAACGTGACGGGTCTGGTAAGACAAAAAAAGGGCATTGGCCATACAAAATCTGTGATAAAAGATGTATGTAGATGTTCACGACCGTAAAGGAAATTCTTGAATATATGTAAATGTACCAACAGAGACAATAGATAGTGAAAATAATTGCTTTAATTTTGTTTATGAAACTCAGTGTGACGTTTTTACAAATTAAATCTAAAGCTACATGGACTTGACGATATAAATCCAAACTTTGTAAAAATACTACTACCAAACATAATTAAAAACCTGACCCACTTGTTTTATACTGCAATAACAATGCCTACCTTCCCGGAGTCGTGGAAAATTACATAAATTATGACGATATTAAAGACCAATAACGAATTTAATCCAATTTGATAGTATTGAAATGTTAATGGTATATGTAAAAAATTTTTAATGACAAAAAATTTGATAAATAATTTTCTATCAGGTTTCCGTAAGGACTGTACTACCGCCATTATCAAGATCGCAGACGATATACGTGTAGCAATGGATAATTGTAAAATAACTTTTTTAACCCTACTAGATTTAAGCAAAGCGTTTGATTCAGTTTATTACAGAATTCTTATAATGAAACTGCAGAGAATATATTGAAATTTTCAAACAATTTTTTAACAATAATTAAAATATGAATAAACAATTAAATAAATTCAATTATCAAATAAATTAAAATCATAATGTAACTAATTAAAATAAAATTGTAGTATCTAACGCAGTAAATTATAAGTGATGTACTTGTAGCGCTAGGATAGTATTAATCCAATAAATTAAAAGAAATAATGGCTTAAATCTACTTTGTATTCAAATTGCTGCCTGGGGGTGCGTTAACCTCCCAAGCCCAACTTCTTTTTTAAGTTTCACAGAAAAAACATCGGCGAAATATCGGCTAGAAATGTGTGGTTGCGAACGTAAATTCCACCGTCAAGGAATAACCGGCAAATTTTTGACACGGCGCTACCTAACGGACCATCTTTAAAAAAGACGGTGGATAGTTCTCTATGGGACTAGGCCATTAATAGTCTATTCCTATTACATTTTCTTCCGAGAGTTCAAAACAAATAGTAACGTAGATGAAGTGAAAAAATTAAGATCTCATGAAATGTGGCATTTACTATGGTTAATATGTTATCACAGAATAAAAAACTGTCAACTAATTAACTATATTTTGGCATGTCGTTTTATACTTATTAAGGAAATACAATTTAAATAATAAATTCTTTTATTAAGACGTTATTTAAGTATTTTCTTATTGCAAATAAATTTATCAACAAATTGTAAGCAAATTCATCTGGACCATTAATGTGAATAGGCTATATCCGCATGTCGCTAGACCAATGGTTATTCGGTGCAGACCAAAAAATCTTAGCGCGAAACATTTTGGATTTTGGGGGCTTGCTCCCAAAGGCAGCAATTTTAACGCAGAATTGATTTAAATGTATTTTTACAATGCATTCTGTCGAATATGCGAAAAATTCTGCAATCGTGTTTCCCACTAACGCAACTTTTAAAAGCCGATGGTGGTACGTACCTTGGCGTCCACCTTAACAGGCGACTTACTGGCCGAAGAAACTACGAAGCTACACTTCCCAGCTGTGGGGAAACTCGATCACCAGCAACATCGACACTGTTCAGCGATCTCAATCCAAAATCCTAAAAATTGTCACTTGGGCACCATGGTATGCTCGGAACAAGATTTTTGAGAATGGCTTGGTGTTCTACCTGTAAAAGATCAAAGATAATATCCAAATAAAAAGCGATTTATAACACGAAGACAACTTTTCATTCAAACCAGCTCGCCAGGATGGTTTCCAATCGAACTCGCTTCCAGCCCAGCAACATTAGAGGCCCCCAATCTTGCGTCAGTCAGCTGGACTGTCAGATAGCTTTATAATTTAAGATTTAATACACTTCAGGAAAATTTCCAATAATAAATGTATAAAAAAAAGAAAAAAACAATTGGATAATTGGCTATTAAGTATCTATCTATCTTCACAACATTTCAGATTATAGCCAGATTTCATTGCTTTCTGGTTTTTTTAACGTACCCGATTTTATTGGCACATTTAGCTAAATAGTAATACAACATCGGCATGTGAATGGCACAAAAAGCTGATCTCATTTTGTTTGCTTTTTAATTTTCGCAAATTTAAACGAAATTAATTTGAAATTTTAATTTTGAGTAAATTTATGACAGGGTAGACATATTCATATTTTGGCATTTGCAATTTAGCCGATGCGAACGAGGATCTGACGGGATTGCTGAGAAGATTATCATAATTGAATAAAAAAACCGACATCAGGATGTGTATACTGGAGTTTTTTCCTGCCTGAGGTCCTAACAACAAAATCATAGCTAAAAGCTACATTATAAAAATCTTTAAGAAATATGCTTAACATGAAAAACACCGCTATTATTATGGCTGTGACGCCGCAACAAAAGTTGAAGCTGCAGCAGTTAAATCAATTCCGACCGTCAGTGACGAACAGGAGTTGTTTGAGTGGCTCTCTGCATTTAAGACACAAATGCGATGAAGGGTATGGAAGGTGGTGGGTGCTTCCGAATTCCATAAAAAATATATTGTTTAAATATTTTACGCATATGTTAAATGGAAGCGTAAAGATCCTCTAAAGGGGAGAAGAATGTGTTCTTTAAGAAAAGTCTTCGGTAATTTTCTACCGGAAGAAAACCTGGTCTCTTTTGGATTGCAATTGGCTCCTGTTGCTGCCAACTCTGCTGCTTCACCTGCTTCTACTTTTGGTGCTTGCCCTTTCGGCACTTGGGCGCACTAATATCGCTTTGAGTGGTGTTCCGATAAATATTCGTCAAAAGAATAGTGATGCGACTTCTGAGGTCTCGGGGATTCCTCTGAGAGGGGTAACTAAAAAAAATATATTTCGAAGCCACTGCCGAGGATGTGTGGATCTTTCACTGTGAGAAACTTCATGCACCGGACAACGCTGTTTCTGTACATAAGTTCATTTTTAAGCGAAAGCTTAATATTTCTTCATTTAAAATTCTTATAACTGAATATTTCTCTAAGGCATTTGATTCTACACTTTGGCCAGTTAATACTTTAATACATGAGTATCTCCATGAAGACTAGCCTCGTGGCTCAAATTCAGCTGCTTCAAAAAACACAAAAAAGAAGAAAAAATTTGTTATTAAAAAAAATTGTTACTGGGTAAATAAAGTAAGGTGTATGTTAACAGTCTTTGTTTAACTGAAACATGGCTAAACTCTTCTGTTTCCTATAAAGATTTCTTGATAAGTTTGTTACCTTGGGTGGTGGCGTATTAATTGCAGTTTACAACTGACTTTCATCGGATCTTTTTCCACTTCAAAACCCTCATTCCACTGAAATCGTTGAATATCAATATCATTAATATTTATATAACTTGCTCTTGCATTCCACCTAGTGGATACTGATACTGATTCTGATACTGATACTTCTTACTATTTGATACACCTGACTGCCATTCAATTATTATAATGGGCGATTTCAACTAACCTAACGTGTCTTGTGTTTCATCAATGGACTCCAATTTCCTTTTTGCCGAAAGTCAGCACGATTTTATCGATGGCCTGACGGACATGCCTCTGGGTCAGACAAACTTTGTTAAGAACCATATCTTTGTCAATAACGACACTCTCGCAAATGTTCTCAGAAGCCCTCCCTTATCTCTGCCTGAAGATCCCTACCATCCAACCTTGTTGTTGAATGTTGAGATGGTTGCAGAAATTCACACCAATTTTGTTGGTTTACACCAGCATTTGAGTGCTATTAATTGGTTTACATTAAAATCATGTAGTGATATAGAGGCTGCAGTATCATCCCTTAATTTGTCATTATCTGAAGTATCGGTAGGTGATACATCCAAATCCAATGGCTCAATAGGTACTTTTCTTACTTCAAAATAAAACAAATCGAGGTTGTATAAAGAATATTTTAAAACCTACTCTGCGGAGGACTTTTCAAAGTATGTCACGAATCGTGTGCTGTTTAATAATACTTCTCAACTTTATGATTGCCACATCGCTTTATTTAGAGAATAAATTCGTAATGGTCCGAAACATTTTTACTCCTTTGTATATTCTAAAAGAAAATCGAATGCGTATCCCTCAACTATATATTTGCACAATCGAACTGAATCATCATCTATAAACATTTCTAAACTTTTTTCAGTCAACCTCTCTCTCTAAAATCCTATGACTTCTTCACTCCTTATCCTCGTGATCTGCCTTGCATGAATAATATTTGTATTCCTCAATTTCAAGTCGGCGATGTTTCTGTCGCTGGAAACGTCCTATTCTGATAACATTCCTAACCGTGTCTTAGCCAATCACTTTTCTATTTCACTTATCTTATTATCTTCAGAGTTTCCAAGAATTTGCAATAAATCTTTTATTATTCCAATTCATAAAGAGGTCTCAAGGTCCGATGTCGAAAATTATCGTGGTTGAGCCAAGCTTTCTGATATACCTAAGCATTTCGAACAGTTGGTCACTTGTCAACCTACATTTGTGTGCCTCATTCATTTCTCCCGCACAGCAATTTTTCTTCTCTCATTCACCGTAATTTCCTAAATAAATGCCTGACGTTATTACAAATTCGTTCGATTCAGTAAGCCATAGCCTTCTCTTTATAAATTATCTCTTCTTGGTTTTCCACCAAATTTATATAACTGGATTTCGGCCTATCTTTCAAAAAGAAGTCAATGCGTTCTTTTCAATAATCAATTTTTTTCTGTTGTAAATGTTTTTCCTGGAGTCTCCCAAGTGATCTTCCAAAAGTAGTGTCATTTGCCTCTCCTTCAAAGCAGGCGTGGCCTGCCAGGGTCAAAGGTAAAGTGGTACCTGAGGTACCTCATGCAGGGCATGACACCGGAGGAGGCCTTGAAGAAGGCAAAGGAGCCGAGGGAGCAGCCGGCATTGGGGACAGCACCGGCTGGCAAACGGCTGAACACCAGCCGCACACCACCAACGGACACCCCCAAAAGGTCTAGACACGGCCCAGGGGCTAGTGAGACGTCCTCACGGGTCCCTGAGCAAGAGGGGCCAAGCACATCAGCAGCAGCGGCAGAAAAGGCAAAAGTGCAGGCCAGGAAGATACCTTCCCAGCCCCATCAAAACCAGAAGACGACAACCGCTGGAGGAAGACCCTCTAGCTCGGCACCGCCGGTCATCGGACCCCGTCCGACTTACGCGGAGGCTACCAAGAAAGAACCCTCATCAGGGTGGCTATACTCCCTGAGGGTTTCCCGGCGGCCAGCCTGACCGCAGAGGAACTATCCGGGCTCCAGGAGTCGGTCATGGACGAGATGCTCACGTCAGCGTGGAGCGGTCCCGTCGTGTTCAGGGGAATCCACTTCAGGGTGGGTTACCTGATTATCGACTGCCTGGATGAAGGCTCAGCTGAGTGGCTCAAGATTGCCGTACCTCAGCTGCGGACGTGGAAGGGAGTACCCCTAGAAACCCGCACGGGAGCAGACATCCCGGCAGCGTACAACGCCACGTTGTTCTGCCCGAGGAGCTCCGACCGGACCAATGAGGAAATATTGGCCTTCATTGGTTTCCAAAACCGGGTCGAGACGGACGCCTGGAAGGTCATCTCCAGGAAGAACGACGGAGCTGGTGCACTCCTGGTCGTAGGGATGGACCAGACCGGAAGGGATGAGATAGTGGAGCGTAACCACAAACTCAACTTCCGGTTTGGCCACGTCACCGTGAGCGGTCTGAAAAAGACCAAGAGAGCTCCGGAAGAGACGCCCAATGACGGCACATGCAAGGCTGTCGAGGATACCCTCGAACCACCGAATGTGGAGCCGAAGTCACAGAGTGGTGAGCAGGATGAACAATCCATCACCAGCATGGACATTGGGGACGACCAAGGGGATGGACACCCTATGTCATCCCAAGAACTGGCCCAGGAGCTCCTCCTGGACGAAAGCTGCGAAGAAGCCGAGGTTACCGTGATAGACGGTGGTGGAGAGACTTGCTCTCTCTCTTCACCAGACCTCACGGAGCATCAAACCTCGGAGTGATGGCTGCAACAAGCAGCACTCGGCTAGCCCAGGTAAACATCCATCGGGCCAAAGCAGCATCTGCTGTCTTGGCGAGGATGTTCACCTCCCAACACCTCGGGCTAGCCCTTGTACAGGAGCCATGGTGGCACCATGGCATAAAAGGCCTGTACACGAAGGACACTAAGGTAATATGCGATCCAGGAGGATCACCTCCCAGATCATGCATCGTTATAAGGAAAGATATCAATTATAGTATCTTTTCAGAGTTCATGAGCAGAGACTGCGTCGCCGTAACCATCAACGGCACAGAAGCTGCACCGAAGCTAGCAGTGGCCTCCGCCTACTTTGCCGGGGAGGAGGCCTGTCCACCGCCAGGAATACCCGGGCTAGTGGACCACTGCCGGACGAACAAGATCCCCCTCATCATAGGATGTGATGCCAACGCACATCACGTGATCTGGGGTAGCACGGATGTCAACAACAGAGGTGAGCAATTACTAGAATTTATTTTAAACAATAACCTAGAGATCTGTAATGTCGGCGCCAGGCCGACATTTGTTACTAGGGTACGAGAAGAGGTGCTAGACATAACTCTAGTAACCAATTCTTTTAAACCCCACATTAAGAACTGGCATGTGTCACCAGAAGAATCAATGTCCGACCACAGGACAATTTTGTTTGAAGTAGCCTTCAAAACAAAAAGATGTAACCCTAAAAGAAACCCCAGAAAAACAAACTGGGA